TTCCGTCGCAGTAGCCATCAGCATGACGACCACGCCTACTTGTCAACGCGTACATCAATTTTCAAAATTTACTTCATAACTTCTGCTTCTATGATTTTTTTTTGCTTTTTCTTGTTCTGCACACGCACTTTGACTGAAAAAGGCTGGAAACGACTCATGGCACTCACAGAAGTGAACACATGAGGCTGAAAGAGACATTTCATCCTCGACCTTAGAAACGATAGGGTACACTCTATTAAATTCTGATTAGACATTCCCACCATCATATTCAACAACTTGTGGTACACTATCACGATACTGCGCCACAGCCTTCTGGACGAGCACCATCAAGAGATTCTGCCACGCGACAAGAGATTCTGCCACGCGACCGTGATTCGGTGCCTGAGTTCAGCGAGGTCGTTGATTTCTCCGCCACTGTAGACCACCCTGTTGAGCTCCGCCCGAACCCGGGTAATTGAGGGGGTTTAGGTCAGGTGACACACTTGGATATTCCGTCCTTCAGGTACTCAACGCCCTTCCATTCCAAGTAGGCGAAAGTTTTTCCAACGCCCTTCGATTCCATGTGGTGACACCAATCCTGTAGCAGTACGAAGTCTCCTTGGTACCGGCGACGACACGAAGGCAGGATATTCATCTCGATGTAATTGCCAGAATTCACCATTACTCCGAGGTCCACGAAGAAAATCGGTCTCCACATTACAGGAACTTCCGGTCCATACCAAACCTGCGCCTTGGCGACTGCAGTGAAGATGATATCCTGGACCATAGCGACGCTGTCGGAGCTGGTTGATGTTGGAGGCAGGGTACAGCATGGGGATGTGCGAAATGGCGGTGTGAGTACGACCCACCTACCCCCCCCCCCCTCAGAGAGGGTCCGGTTACGACTCCTCCCGCTCTAACTGACAGCCATATGTTGGTTCATACGAAATGACATCCTAAAATGGAATCAGGGATCCTGCAGTGCGGACTTTGCTCCGAAATTGTAGGCAATATGAGGCTGTTGTTCAGCCTCATACAATATGAGGCTGAACAACAGCCTCATTTTGCCAACAATTTTGTTTTAGGGTTCAAAAATATTAGGTTGACCGGAAAGTTTCCCGCCATTGAATTTTCAAAAATATTTTGAAAACGAACTAACTTGGAAATCAGAGGTATGCACCATCAGAGTCTACAACTTGTCGCCAACGTTCTGGCAGCTTGTCGATTCCTTCCTCCCAAAAGGACGGGGGCTGGGACTTGAAAAAACCGTCGATTGCTTCCCTGATGTCCAAGATAGGTCTTCATTCTCGAACTGTTTCCCGGTCAGGAAGCGTTGGAGGTGGCTAAAGAGCCAGTAGTCGGAAGGTGCAAGGTCAGGGCTGTAAGGAGGCTGAGGGATGACAAGCCAGCCGAACTTCTCCAGCTCGGCTTGGGTTGCCTTCGCAGTGTGTGGTCGAGCGTTGTCGTGGTGGAAGCTGATGTCGGCTCCGCGTCCGCGTGTCCGATGAATGTGGGCTTTGAGCTTCTTCAGCTGGGTGACGTAGGTAGTGGCGTTGATGGTCTGCCCCTTCTCAAGCAGCTCCCAGTGCTCGATGCCGCGTCGTGACCACCAACACGGTAGCAGCACTTTCTTGGGGTGGATGTCGGGCTTTGGGACGGGTTGTGGCTCTCATCCCTTGTTGACCACTGCCGTTTCCTCACAGGGCTTTTGTAG